ACGTACACACACACATACACACACACACACATATATATATATATACACATGCATATGCACATGCATATACATATACATATACGCATATACATATACGTATACTTATACATATACATGTATACATGCATGTATATACATGTATACATATATGTGTACATACATATATACATATATATATATATATATCTATACACACATATGTATATATATATATAGATATACACATACAGATGTCTATATACATATAGGCATATATATATATACACACATATACATATTCTTATGTACATATGTACAGATGTACACATACATATACACATATGCGTTTATATATACATACATGTATACAACCTATACATACATACATATATATATATATACACATGTGTACAGATACATACATACATACATACATACATACATACATACATACATACATACACACACACACAGATCCACCCCAAGCCACACACCCTAAAACTTAAGCTCCAAGCCTTCAGGCCAGTAGGCCGCAAGCTAAGAGCACCCTTCCCTCCTTGGACCTGCAGGAAAGGGCTGTTGGGTTTCTGAACAGAATTCTGCGATAAGATACTAATAACCCTAAACCCTAAACCCTAAACCCTAAACAATAAATACCCTAAAGCCCGATTGAAGGTTATTATCAGGCACCTCGAGGGGTTACAAGGGTGTAGGAGCAGAGTAATGAGTTTCGGTCTTTGTGCGGTGAGCAGGGACGCCATGATACTTTTGCGTCGGCTAGTATACATGTCGGGCTGTCAGAAGACTTGACGACCCCAAGTCACAGGATCATACACACTCGGAGCCGGCAAGACAAAACCGTATCGACCCTACGTAAGCAGAGGGTCCTTGTTAATAGGAGCACGAAATCCTAAACCCAGAACCAAAACACAGATGCTGAGTAGTGGGATCCGTGCCGTTCGGATTCCTAGTACGGGACTCCTGCTGCTCCGAACCCCCCCCCCCCCACACATATGTGCCAGAACATGAATAAGAATGTTCCTTAGGGTTCGATAACATAGCAATATTCGGCAATATACTATACTATACCCGCCCAAAACCCATTTCTCGTTCTTCGGGCCTCCACATCACGCGTAGGGGTTTGCAAGGTCATGTAGACCCTGCTCAATATACGCTCGTACCGTAAAAGGGATTAGAACAGGAATCCGAGCTGCAAAGCCCTGGAAGAGAGAGGCCTTATTGATCAGAGGTCTACTCGAATATCATTGGGGCATGTGTTCGTGACCAGGAAAGATAAAAGCAGCTGCCCTCGATTGATATATCTATATGTGCATTTCATTCCAGGGGGCCCATTTGGGGGTCCTTCTACAAGGATCCTGTTCGTTTAGGGTCTAAATCAGGCTGTTTCTGTTCTTGATACTTCCACGTGCGTACCTGAGCTGCTAGCTCTTGCTGTTTTGGTGATACCGGCGTGAGCCCTGGTTCCCACCACCACCCTGGATCTCCTGCTGCCCTAAAACCCCCAAACCTTAAGCCCTAAACCGTAAGCCCTA